ATCACAATAAAATAGTTATAATCAAACCGCTAAACTTGTTGTCAATTTATTACAAACTTATAAATGATAGCAGAAAGTTAGACAAATAAAACCATTGTGACACAAAGTAATACAAAGTATAATATTGTAAATATAGTTATCAATTAATAAAATCATTTTTATTTAATAATAGATTCGAAATATATAAAAATATTGTACTTAAATCTGAAAAATTCAATAAATTAAATAAAAAACTTCAATATTTAAATAAGATCATTATTTAAAGTTATATTATTTCAAATTACTAAAATATCATACATTACAACTTGCATGTTTCTATCATAATTTACCTAAAATTCAGTAATCCGATGGTCATGGGGTGCATGGAGGTACAGTATTTGCTCAAGGTTGAATTTGATCAGGAATCTTAATTCAACTGATCCATTCATGAATGACTTGGTCTCATGTCTAACTTTTTAAGCTTAAAGGTTTAGACTCCTAACATTGTCCCTCTTGGCAAACTCAGTCAGAAAACTGATCCTGTAATCTTTTTCATACTTCATTTTTTCCTTTTGTCAACATTTTTCATACACGGATTTCAATTTTAAGAGACCCTGACATCTCGAATCTATATTTATTACATTTTCCACTGCAATGTGGATCAAATAGATTCACTAATTAGTAAAGATTTTCTTTTTTATTTGACTTATTATTACAGTATATTTGATATCATATTTCACATAATTATTTCTATACAAACTTTTAAAATTTTCTTGCAAATATAACTAATAAACAAAAGTAATAGCATAGTATAGAAAATAGAATTGACTCACAGCTTGTTTAGTTTACATAAGCATTTATAGAGTGAAAGTAAAAAAGTGAAAAAACAACAATTAATAACCTAAAGTAGTCCTAATCATTTTCACAGCAATTCTCTGGTGTTTAGTCACTAATCATAAACACCATTAAACACATCACTCAATGTTTTTAATAATATTTGCTTAACTGTAGTTAATATCCGACAAAAAACTAGTCAACATATTAGTTAATTCATAATGACTTGTAAATTCGATATTTCATTATTAAACAACTTTTTTGTTGAATTTGTTCATAAAAATAAAATTGGTTCATGTCGTTGAGAACATGCACTAAAAATAAAATTACTCTTAACCCACACTCTCTAATAAATGTATGTTTAATATGTAATAAACTTTTTATACAGATTTGAGCTTTACTTGAGTTTATATAAACCTATTTATGTAAATCTTTAGGACTACATAGCATTTAACCTTACATTGACTTAACTATACAGTAATGAAAAACTCTAATAGTCGTGTAAAGTATTGTGTTATAATTACGAATATTATTTATATATTTAGCACTTCTCACTTTTTTGTGAAAGCCATGAATGTTTTTTTGTCCCAAATGTATAGAAAACACAAATATGTGGTGTCGGGTGAGGACTAAAATAGAAACGATTGCTTTGATTAGAGATAATGTGTGCAATAGAGGAGCGCCAGGATGTCATCGCATTCTCACTGCTATTTTGTCGATCATCAGGGTCTCCTATAAATTAATTCACATTTTTACAATTGCTTGAACACATCTTTCTAAGAATTCAATTTATAATTAGTTTGTATAAAAAACAGAAACTAACGATATATATATTCATTTCGTTATAATAATAGTAACAATAATTAGACGCATAGATACAGTAAAAGTATATTTAAAATGTGTGTTTGTTTAGTCAAACATTATTTATAATAACTTATGTCTTATTATTCGTTAAAATTTATGAATTTTTGACATTTAGTCTAACTTATAATTTGATGAAATATTTGTTAACAAGAATGAAAAAGTATTAAAAACTCAATTATAGACATGTTTACTAAAAAGTCTGTGGGCGGACTGGGATTGCAATGCTCATGAGACGTGTGGTGTGTATACGAAATGGTTTGTGTGAAGTGACTCTTAACTCTAGAAACTAACTTCTACTCCAACTCCACATAATCATCACATTTGCCCCGTATTTTGATATATTTTTATTCAGTGCTCCACTGTTTCGACTCACAAATGATGAGTGAAAGAGGAAATAGTTGCGAGACTCACACAAAAACTTTGGATTCGGTGCCAAACTTTTGCCAAAAACTATGCTCTCGTCTCGCAAATGATTATTTTCTACTCCATTATATTCGCTCTCTATTTAATCATTTGAGTGCAGCATAAGAAGAGTTGAAACAAAATATTTTTTTAAACAATTCTCTCAAAACAGAAGTCATTTTTTGATGGCTCTCTATATGACCGAAAAAGTGGTTATTTATTTATAATAAGAGTTGTTGAGTTGTGCCACACATATGATACGATGTGCCTTTAAATTGCCTTCAAATATTTGGTGAACAAAATGCCGTCTCAGTCCTCGAGACTGTCATACTTGGCGACAACACCTGGGACTACCTTCGGGAGGGATCAGATTTGGCTCAATCGAGACTATGGGTCCGAAAAGGTATGGGTCCTCAACCCCATGCATATCGTCTCATTGAGTTCCGAAACGAAGTCCAAGTTTGTCAAAGTTATCGAAAGCTTCAAACAGTTCAGTGAAAAATGGTTTTCACACGTCTTGTTGTTAATATTTCTCATACTTTACGGCTTTCTCGGCGCCT